CCCCAAAACCCCAAAACCCCAAAACCCCAAAACCCCAAAACCCCAATCACTTCAAAAAACTAAACTCAAATGTAATATTAAATAGCCACGATGGGCGCTTGTTCAAGCTGATGTAAGGGAGATGATAAGAATGGTCAAATACAGGTTGATCATAAGAGGAAGATGGATATTTTGAAGGAAAGAGCACTCGTTAAGATCCAAACTGCTATGAAAACTTATTTAGCACAGAAGCAATGTAAACAGAGGCCAAAGACTCATGATTCAAACGAGAAGAAGGAGACTAAAGAGCAAGAAATGAATGAGGGGCAAGATTTTGAACCATATGAAGGTTTCGATGATAACGTTTATGATAACCCTATCGTTGAGAGTATTTCCAAGAAGTTAGGCCCATTCAAATTTAATTCTCCTGAAGATAATAGTGTCTCAAGAGAGCAGAGAGAAGCAGTCCTCTTCAAAAATGGAGCAAAATATGAAGGAGAGTGGAATCCAGAGACCAACCAAAGAGACGGTAAAGGAGTCCAGGTCTGGGGAGATGGCAGTAAATACGAGGGCTACTGGAGAAACGATAAAGCCAATGGGCAAGGAAGACTCATCCATGCAGACGGTGATGTCTACGAAGGCCAGTGGGTCGATGACAAAAGCCATGGCTTTGGTGTCTACCATCATAATGATGGCGCCAAATATAGAGGCGACTGGCATGAAGACAAGCAGGAAGGCTACGGTATCGAAACTTGGCCCGATAATGCTAAATATGAAGGAGAGTATAAAGATGGAATGAAGCATGGAAAGGGCAAGTTCTTCTGGGCTGATAACTCAACCTATCAGGGTGATTTCATAGCTAATGATATTGAAGGCAATGGCACTTATAGATGGGCAGACGGTAGAGTATATGAGGGGTCATGGAAATAAGAATAAAATGGAAGGAATGGGAATATTCACATGGCAAGATGGCAGAAGGTATGAAGGAGAATACAAGAATGACCGCAAAGAAGGCTACGGGGAATTTACATGGCCAGATGGCAGGATGTATAAAGGTAGTTGGAAAGATGGAAAACAAGATGGCGAAGGACTTTTTGTTAGTGATAAAGGTGTTTCGCGAGAGGGAATTTGGAAAAATGGTAAAAGAATTTCATGGGTTGATGAGAATGGCTCTTAATCTTATATTTAATAAAATTTAGTAAGTACTCAGGCATGCAGTCCTCGATAAGTTCAATAATTTAAAATAAAATAGGGGTTTTGGGGTTTTGGGGTTTTGGGGTTTTGGGGTTTTGGGGTTTTGGGGTTTTGGGG